TGTCAGGAGTCTGAGTCAAGTCCTCTCACTTGAAAGTCTTTGTACATGTTCAACACAAAACAGATAGGTAGGCTCAGGGACACTAGTACCCCTACATCTGTGAAATACATCTCTATTGCTGGAAGTCCTTAAAAAGTAGGTATATGCAGTGCTAAATCTTCTCTAGCCTCCAGACTGCCTTGCTCCTCATGCAAGAAAAGGCAATCCTCGCCTTGCTGACAGGTGAAAGACCACTCTCTTCACTGCTGGGAATGCTGTGGCAGCTATTGATGTTCACATGGATTTTTCTTCATTATGCAGAGCATGAACCTTCATTTCTTACCAAACTACTCACTGCAGGCATTTTCTCTGTCTGCTGGAATGGATTGATCCAGAGAAACATATTCTTCTTTAACCTTCGAGGTTCTTGAAGGGAACATCTCCTGAGGGACTTCCTGTGGCAAACCACCCAGCCATGTGGTAGCACCGAGCTCCATCAGTCTCAGGGTTATCTTGAGAGTCTTCTGCCCTGCAGTTTTTTGTTGTTTTCTCATTTCTGTGACTTCAGTGGTGGCTTCACTGAAGGTGAATTCCTATTCCCCTTCCCCACACACATCTAAAGGGAATTTTATCTTAGCAGGAGAATTCAGGGTCAGGCCTGGGTTACTGCAGTTTTGTGGACGGTGCTTTCATCTCACCATTAGGGACTATGCTGCAGTAACTAACTTTGAATTTTCAGTCCCATAATACAGGCAGACTAAACTGCCACTCATGCTTGTAATTGCCTTAATATAATAATAGCACAATATGTTGAGTACAATGCTTTGTGATATTAGTAAATGGGCATTCAGAGGTACCAGAAGTAATGAGCAGTAAGAGTAACAGCATAATGTGCAGCAGCCCTAAGCCAAAAATGAGAATGCCACTATGCTAGGTGTGGTACAAACACCTAACAAAGCTAGCATGTTTGCACAAAAAGCTTCAAGGAGGAATAACCAGTGAGGAGATTTCATTCCACATGCCATAGATGGCAGATGAAAAAAAACAAACAGGGGCAGAAACTTCAGAGGGGCTTCAGGACATTTTAAGCCTCGATCCCCCTGTCAGCACACATGTGGTGTTACTGGCATCTCCTGGCCTTAGATCCCAGCTGTGTATTCATGCAGGTGACAGCATGGCTCCAGCCCCATCCTTTTCGTCCCATACAGTGGAAGCTCTGTCCGTGTGTGTCTGTGTGTGTGTGTACACACAATCTTGAAGTACCCTGTGGCCTTACAACTGGTAACTTGGCCACAGCAGCCAAAGCACCTGACTCGCTGCGTGAGTCTGACCGTGCTATTTCATGTGGATTATTTCCATGACTGACAAGCTGTTTGTCACCAAAATTAGGAAGGAACCTCTTAATATCAACGTAGCATTAAGAAGCGGGCATTTCTTTATTTGGTGCCAGATGCATGGGGGATCATTCCTCCTAAAATGCACAGTCTAAACCAAAAAGCCCATCCTTTATATCCCTTAAAGAAATGAATATTCATACATTTTCCAAGAAGTCTCTGCCTTTCCGCCTATCTATTAAACATTTACATAATGCTGACGTTGCAAAACTACACTACGCACGTGTGAGGGTCTCGGGTGGTCGTTTTGGGGAGTTAGCCCCTACTCCTTTTTCCCTTTTATGGTTGTGAGTCTTTTGAGGGCAATTTCTTTTCCTTGCATGTTTCCCAACTTTGTGGTTCGGCCAAGCTGTTCTTTCGTATCTGTCTTGTTTGACCGATTCTGCCAGCATGTATCTATTCTCCGGGTTAGGGTATCTGCTCTGTACCCTTTAATCACTTGTTAAATCCAAAGTGTTTTGTTCGGCAAAAGAACTTCTCAACATTTCCCCCCTTCGAGACTTCCAAAGTAAGATCTCTTGAGGAGCTTCACCCAGATCGCGTAATTCTCACAGTACTGTCGACTTCCAGGTATAGACAACTGGGTACAACATGACCATATAAGGCATAATGGGATGCTTCTCTTGTCAGTAATTCTTACAGGCCTCAACTTGCAGGCACCAGCTGCTAGCAGGTACCGCTACGGCTGCAGAAAGGCGGGTGGCACCTGGCGGGGCCCGGCCGGCTGCCTGCCGAGGCCGCTCCGCCCAAGCCGCCTCCTTCCGCCAAACGCGCCAATTGGTTTAGAAA